AGTTGAAAGTGCACGAGCAGGATGTACCGAAGACTACTTTGCGTACTCGTTATGGATATTATGAATTTCTTATCATGCCGTTTGGTCTGACAAATGCTCCTACTATATTCATGGATATGATGAATCGGGTATGCCGCCCAGTGTTCGATAAATCTGTCATCGTATTCATTGATGATAATCTAATCTATTCAAAGTTTGAAGCTGATCATGCCATTCATATTCGTATTGTATTAGAACTTCTTCGAAAGGAGAAACTATATGCTAAATTCTTGAAATGTGAGTTTTGGCTTCGTCAAGTTCAATTTCTTGGCCATGTTATTTCAGGTGACGGTATATCTGTAGATCCTACCAAAATCGAAGCCATTCAAAATTGGGAAGTGCCCCATAATGCTTCCGAAATTCATAGTTTCATAGGTCTCGCGGGATATTACCGAAGATTTATAAAAGAATTTTCCCGTATTTCCGTTCCTCTCACGAGTCTTATACATAAGGAAGCGATGTTCGAATGGGGTGAAGCCCAAGAAAAATCTTTCTCAACTCTAAAAGATCTTTTGACTCGTGCTCCAATCTTATCACTTCCAGAAGGTGATGATGATTTCTCCGTATAGAACGATGCTTCAAGATTGGGACTCGGTTGTGTGTTGATACAACATGGTAAAGTGATAGCCTATGCCTCCAGACAACTAAAAGATTATTAGAAGAATTATCCCACTCATGATCTTGAACTCGCTGCAGTGGTATTTGCGCGAAAACTTTGGAGGCATTATCTTTTTGGTACAAAATGCCAATTATTTACCGAGCACAAGAGTCTCAAGTATATATTTAGTCAACAAACTTTGAATATGAGACAACAACGAGCCATGGAGCTGGTCAAAGATTATGATTGTGAAATCTTATATCATACCAGAAAGGCCCATATAGTTACCGATGCACTTAGTAGGAAAGTTTATCGTAATAGTATGTGTTATACTATTACTCACACTACAGTAAAGTTCACTATTCTTGATGAACTACAGAAATGGCAAGAAAAGGCCTTAAAACCAGAAAATGTGAAGAAAGAAGGGATGGTACATTATACCGATGTCTTACTTGATGATCCACGAGGATTGAAGGTATTTAAGAATCGACTATGGATTCCGAAGATTGGTGGATTAAGACAGAAGATTTTAGATGAAGCCCATAAATCTAAACTATCAATACATCCTGGTACAAGCAAAATGTACTATGACGTACGGGCTGACTATTGGTGGTCAAGATTAAAGAGAGACAATGAAAGATATGTACAAGAATTCTTGATATGCTTACAAGTCACAATAGAGCACCAAAAGCCTTACGGAACCCCGGAAAGTCTTAGTGTTCCTGTATGGAAATGGAAGAACTGTCCATGGATTTTATTACCAATTTTCCAAAGACTGCTAGACAGCATGATAGCATTTGGGTAATCGTCGACCGCCTGACTAAGAGTGCACATTTTCTCACCATGTGTGAAACAGCTCCAATGGAGAAATATGCACAAGTATACCTAGATGAAATTGTTGCAAGACATGGTGTGCCACTAAAGATCATTTCCGATCGTGATACTCGTTTCACTTCTCATTTTTAGGCAAGTATGTAACGTGAATTGGGATCTCGAGTTGCTCTTAGCACAACTTATCATCCCCAGACAGACGGTTAGACGGAGAGAACAATCCAAACAGTAGAAGATATGCTTTGTGCATGTGTTTTGGAGTTCGGTGGTAACTGGGATAAGTATTTACCGCTTGTCGAATTCTCATATAATAACAGCTACCACGCATCAACCAAAATGTCACCGTATGAAGCATTACATGGTCATAAATGTCGTACTCCATTATGTTGGCGTGAAGTAGGACAGAAAATCCTTCGAGGCCCTGAAATGATTCAAGATACCACCGAAAAAATTCAAATCGTACGTGAAGGAATGAAAACGGCCCAAGATCGACAAAAGTCCCATACATAAAAGAGGATACGGCCTATAGAGTTCCAGGTGGGTGATTTCGTAATGCTAAAGGTATACCATGGAAATGTCTTATGAGATTTGGAAAGAAAGGAAAACTAAGTCCCAAATTTATTGGTCCTTTCAAAATCATCCAGAGAATTGGTAAGCAAGCATACCGCTTGGAATTACCTGAAGATTTGGCAGATATTCATGATGTCTTTCATGTGAGTTATTTGCGCAAATGCTTGAGCATCTATGATGAAACGGTTTCGTTATCCGAGGTGAAATTGGATAATAAGTTAAGATATGTAGAAGAGCTTGAAGAGATTGTGAATGAAAGAACAACTAATCTACGTAATAAAGAAGTAAAATTGGTGCTTGTTAAATGGAAACACCATCGAGGACCAAATTATACTTGGGAAAATAATAGTGAAATAAAAGCAAAATATCTCCATTTGTTTTAATCGATGTAATTTCGGGACGAAATCCTCAAAAGGGGGAGGTATTTGTAACATACACGTTCAGTTATCGTGTATTGTAAATTATAAAAGTGAAAAATATTACGAAATATTATGTAAATTTGAATGTTGAGTTCTAACGGATGATTTATAATAGAAATAAAGTAAAAATATGTTTAGAATCATTCAGAAAGTATTGGAAGTCTTATGAGATTCCAATCAAATGTCATATAGTGAAATTTAGCGAAAATATAAAATTTGAAATAAGCAAAATTTTATTATTTAAAGTTGTAAAGAATCTCGTTAGAAAAGTTTAGGCGAAAACCTCGTTGAAATCCAAGTTATAACGAAGAAGTTATGACCAATCAAAGATTCGTGATAAAACCGACAAACACTATGTCTCATAAAAATTGAGTTTAAACTACTTTTTAGCCTTAGTGATCTAAATAAAAGTTGTAGAACTCGTTAAAATAATAAACTTTCATATAAAGAACTCTTAAATCCGACTTCGTATGAGGAAGTTATGATTTTTCTAAGTTTCTGAATCTTAGTAGACAGTTAAAAACTCGAAATAAAGATCGAGCGACTTTTAGCCGACACAACCTAAACGAGAATCGAAGGTCTCGTCAATAGTAGTACAACGGTAAAAAGTCTTATGAAAACGGACGTCGGATAAAGAAGTTATAAATTTTTAACGGATTTTCCTGTCCCAATATGTTAAAAATAATAATATTAAAATTAAATTCAAAGTTAACCGACAAAGTCTAAAAAAAGTTGTTGAGCATAATTTTACCTACGTGTGCATATAAAGAACGTCAAAAACAGAGCTCGTATGCGAAAGTTATGAATTTTAGAAGATTTTGGCTCATTTTCCGAGGAATTTCGCATGGATAAATCCGGAATAGGCCACATCATCGGATCTTAGCCGATGCCTCGTGTCCAACGTCGTGACTCATTCGAAAGCAGCAGTCGATGCGTGTGCACCCCGTGTCCGAGCCGGAGACCCAGCCGATGACGCGTCTGAAGCCGATGACTCCACGCCTTTCTTCCGCGTGTACCGAGCCTCGCATAGATGCCAGCTGCCCTTCGCTCCTGCTGACACGCGCCTCTCCTCCTTGATTCGGATTCGACCCTCGCAAGCTCGCCCCTATAAATAGAAGACCTGTGATATTGCCCTAATACTTTTAGAAAATTGGCAATTTTGTCCCCCTTTTCAACACTTTCACTATTTTGATATCCCTCGAAGCCCCGTTATCACTATTTTGATATCCCTCGAAGACCCCGAGAAATTTATCTTTTCGTTTTGAAACCCTAACTTCGCAGAGCCCGGTTTTCAAGAAAGCTCCCGGTTCTTATAGAAGAAAGCTATTTATAGTAACGAAGTGCTGCCCAAATTACTATTTTAACCCCCGGTTACTTCAAAGTGAGTTTCAATATATAGGAACAATTGTATGTTATGTGCTATATGTACTATGTGCTTTTCAGTTGTTATTATTTCTGCTATTTACGATAGAAAAGTTATACATTGGACCATGTGATCAATGAAAGGACTTAGCTTCATGGTGGTACTGGTATGTAGCCTCTGACCATGTAGAGCAAGTCTCCGTAAGTGAATGACTTCTATTCTATTGTATGTCTTCTATGCCATTTGGGCCGAAGCTTTATTGATCTATATCAAGTTTGGAAATTGTTATGTCTCATTGATTGTATATCTTTGAATAAAGTCATTGATTGATATGGAAAGTTTGTCACATGATTCATATATGCCTTTGTTGTTCCTTGTTCTTCTTTGCTTCTACCATATTGAAGTGTATATATGGCATAACATTATATTGTATCTATTGTCATTACTAGAAAAGCAGCCTTTTACGACGCTCATTGCGCGTCGTAAAAGGCTCAGACGACGCGCAAATGCGCGTCAAGGAAGGCCCTGTCATAAAGAGAGACGACGTGCATTTAAGACGCTCATTTACGACGCGCAATTACGACGCGCGTTTACGACACACAATGCGTATCAAGGAAGGCCCCATCATAAAGGAAGACGACACGCATTCGCGTGTTGTAACCTTACGACGCGCGTGTTAATGACACACAATGCGTATCAAGTAAGCCCTTGTCAAGAAAGGTCATGTCATAAATGAAGATGACACACATTTTTGCGTATCATAATTTTAAATGTTTAAAAAAAATATTATTTATAGATTTACTAATTTTCAAATTAAATAATACATTAAAAATCTCATAATACAAAATAAAATACCATAAATAACAAAGATAATTCATTTAACTAATATGTCAAAATACAAATAATTATTGCAAAAGTGAGTAAATGTTATAAAAAAAATGAACTCATTTATATACAATTGCATCATCTAGCTTACTATGTGCCAACAACTCTCTGTGTCTTTATTTTTGCATCCATCACCTTCAATCACCCAATTAAACTCTAGATCTTCTGTTGTTTGAAAGAAATTGGTGTTTGTAATCTATGAACAAAAAACACAAAGACCAAGGTTAACATTTGCTATATAGAAAGCACAACTAGAAACATTTTTGTTGGAAATAACTAAACAAAAACCTAAATACTAAGCAAAAAAATTATAGTAATCACCATTTAGAGCAGGATGAGGAGTTTGATCACGCCATATGAGACCATTTAAGCAGAAATTTAAGTCATTTGATGTATCTCCAAAGTCACCTCCATATGCCCAGTATTTGCTACCATTTGCATTTTCCTTGAGTAACCCCTGAAACCAGATGCAAATATTTACAACTACCCTTGCACCACATTTACAATTTTATAAAATTTAAGAGATGAGTTTCAAACCTGGTCAGCCCAATCCCAAATAAACTCTCCTTGCAGACCAAATGTGCTATTGATTGCTTCCCAATATTCATAGTGTACAACTCTTGATGGATCCTTCCCACGAATCCACCCTGAAATACATGATTTTGTATCAATCAATATAAATTATAAAGTGAAAGATAACTTTGATGCAAAACAATTCGAATCATATATATACAATAGAGTGTCTGGCTGTTCAAATCAGAAAAGAAAACCAACCAAACAATTACACTTTTATCCTTGTACATATTAAAAAATTCTTTCTATACATATCCAGAGACTGACTAACAAGATATTTCAAGAAGATGATGACTAACTAGATAGATAAACATGTATGTATAATTAATAAATTATATTACTCATCATTCAAAACATATATAATATAATATTATTACTATACCTGTAGAGTAAGTTCCAGGAACAGCACGCTCTAAGTAGCGACACTACTAATTTTGGAGAAACTGACCGCATTCACACAAAAGGAAAACAATCAATCAGGAACATATGGTATTAGTACTTTGTTTACTACACCTTGATTGGTTTCTACAATAAGTAACTAAAAGGCAATATAAAAATAAAAAAGACAATACAAAAAAAAAATGAACATACGGTATTAGTATCAAAAACACATACCAATCAGAAAATTCACCCCAAAAGAACTCTTATATTTCTCGTGCAACATCATTATAGAAATATTTGTCATAACTTGGTCTTGTTGTCACCGCATCAATAAGCACATGCAGTTTTGAAACCTAATATTTAAAATTAAATTAGTCACCAAACATAATAATAATAATAATAATAATAATAATAATAATAATAATAATAATAATAATCAATCATAATAATTTAATGACAATAATAATAAATGAATCTGTCTTACCACCCAACACTCTGGTAAAGGCAATGTGAGAAGCTACTCTTCTTTATCAAGAACATCACTCAACACTTCTAGTGCAAGATCAAGATTTTTGAATAATACTATTTATAAAATAAAAAAATGGTAAAAAAATCTCCATACATAGAAAATTACTATTTTACCCCTATACATACCTAGAACCAAGAACAGCTTGTGTGACAGTGGGTAGAGCACTCCTATCATCTCCATTGATCACAACTTCACTGTTACTTGAATTACTTTTACTGTTTTTTGAAGCTCTTGAATTGTAAAAGAAAATACACATCAATAAAAATCTAACTAATGTATAAATAACAACAATAAAAATTTAACTAATGTGCAAATAATAACAGTATAAATGATACATCAAGTTATTTCTTGATAATTAGGGAAAAATGTGCAGGAAGGAAAAAGATGAAAAAAAACTATTTTACCTCATCTACACTAAGAAAGTTAAATCCCAAGGGCAACTGCTGTCTTTTCTGCAACTTCTTGGGTTTTAAATGCACTTGAGCTTTCCAATAGAGGACATCCATGCACATAACTGTGAAATGTGTAAAAGGGTAAATCGTAATGTTTATTTACAAGAATTTTTAAGGGCACATTGGTAGAAATAGCAACATTTCTTTTCCAATAATAGCACTATGTAACAAATTCTGATGTGTTCATTCTTAATAGCAATATCACTGAAAATAATATGGTTTGGTTGCACACCCTGTGCAGCAGCATCTACGCAATACCCAAAAACATGTAAGAAAAAGGATTATAACTGGGTATAGTTTGATATAATAAGAGGATTAAAAATGACATACAGACACGAAGTCTCATTTCACCAGCAGCTGGGGACCTGAGAAGCCAAAGGGCACTATTGGGAACACGCTTTAAAATATTGCACCTGAAACAAACAAACAACAAACATTATGTCAATGTTACTATAATATATAATGTGTGTCAACAGAAGTTGAGATTATATCTTGAATGTTACCAAGTGATAAAAATTTCAAGATCCATCCTGTAAAGCTGATTAAAACAAGCGAATATGAACTTGTTTTCGGGCAATTCGTAAGCTGAACGCTTAGGCTGGCAGTTTACATCCATCACATCAAGGTTTTTCTGCACCCAACCATTAACAAAAACAAATTAATCAAACTTCATTTACACCTTTACTTGCTTGTAATCATTCACAAAGAGAGATAAAAAGAAAATATGAGGAAACCAAGTATGGAAGACAAACTGTAAGATACCAATCAATTTTAACATTTAAGCATCTAGTAAAAATGAGATTTAAAAAAAAAAAAAAAAGGATAAAAAGAAAATAACATCCACATAATTCCCCTGTTTGTTCAATCATCAATCAACTCTTTTTAGCACACCTAAATGCAAAAATAACAACCTTTCCAGCATCCTTAAGTGCATTTCACTAGTGAAAAGTTTATTGTCAAAAGCATGAACACACAAAAAATTGATTATAGAAGAGAATGAAAAACTCACGAGATTATTATATGCCCCCAAAAATCCAGCATCACGACCTATAGCCTGCTTATAATGGTCAATTGCCATCTCCAAGTTACCTTGCTAATAATATATGCTAGTCAAATTCCCTGAACAATGTAAAAGTCAGCTTAGTAAAAGTCAAATAGTTGGTTTGATAAGAATCGATAACACAATAATGAGGAACAGAAATTGAATGCTTGATTACTATGAACTTCACGTGGAAATAAGAGAATAACAATTCAGAGAAGTTAATCAAATGATTGTTCTTCCTGACCTAAATCCGAGAGGATCTCAAAGAGATGACCTCCTACCCAATCTAATGCTGGAGACTCAAAATACCAATGCAAAATACTGAATAATCCCACTACTGCTATGACTCATGCTATTTAACCTTACAAATGATGATTCTGGAGTGAGGTGTAAAACATAAAGTAATAAAAATTACAACCAGGTCCCTCCATGTTTTCCCTTTCTTAATATTTGACACGTTCTCTATCAATGGTTCATGTAAAAGATAGAAACAAAACATGATACTATTACTAGTACTAACCAAAAGCCATGGCATAGTCTGGTTTAGACTGAAGAGCACGCTCATAACATACAATAGCTTCTGTAGCCATTCCTAAAGCCTATAAAATGCAAAGAAAAAACAATTTTAGAAAGAAAAAAAATGTCCTTGTGTTAATATCTACCAAGAATTATCAGAAAAACAATGGAGTATTCACCTTGTATACATTTCCCAAGTTTAAATAGGCATCAGAAAATGTTGGCTTATGTTTGACTGCCTCCTGCAATAAACAAGATCCACAATGAGAGTAAATTCATCCGAATAATACAAGACATATATATAGAGAGAGAAAACTTAAGTCCACTTTTGCCCATGGATCATTGTATTGTAAGCCACTGAAGTCCAAATGACAAAGTGGGAAAGTGATCAGGAACTGTCTACGAATAATTAACACCAGACACATAAGAGTTAGAAAAATCAATACCAAACAGGACCTTCAACACTTCTTGGAAAGTTAAAACTATGTATTATTTAGAGGAAGGGGATGCATGACATGTTCATGTTGTTGGATAAGGTGTCTAAGTCCATAACTTATTTCGTATATACTTGACCCGACCGGCATGGTCCATTTGGGTTGCATCTCATCCAAACTATTATGGATAATTTTATGAGAGTTATACACATATGTTTATTAATATATTATGAGTTATAATATATTAATATGAAGTTACGTTATTTAATTAGTTTTAGTCTTAAATTAATTATGAATTAATTTAGAGATTAAAAGGAAGACTAATTAAATTATGGGCTATTTGTTTTATATAGTGTGGGCTAATACTCATTTGTTAATGGGCTAGGCTTATGTGGAAGTCCATGGATGATCCATGGAGCTTTTAACCCATGGATCCTTGGAAAAGGAAAAGACATGGGTTATTAGGGTTTCACCCTAACCATGCACACTATATAAGCATGCTTATGGAGCATGAAATGGAGCCTAAGAGAAAACTAGTGAACTAGTGTGTGTGTGCATGTGTGTGGCCGATTTTATACAAGGTGTATACTCTCTCAAAGTTTTCCAAGAGTTTGTGGTGTTTGTGATTCCATTTGAGGCATTCACACTATTGGTGCTTGGCCCTCAAACTCCTTAGAACCAAACTCACCAAAAGGTATGTAATCTCTTCTAACTCTTTTATGTTGAAATGTTCCCCATGCCATGTTAGATAGGTTATAAACCTTGGAAAATTATTATTTTGCATGTATTTAGACAAACATAGATCCAAGGTTTATTAGGGTTGCATGCACACTTAGGAAGTGTTAGATTGCTCAAAACCCAACAGTGGTATCAGAGCCTAGGCTTGCTTGTTTGATACTTGATGCAAAATAGTGAAAAAAGTCGAAATCGTTGCTGTCAGCATGGTGGACTCGCCGAGTCCATTGGGGGGACTCGACGAGTCCAAGGCAAACTTCAACCTACTCGACGAGTCAGTTCATGCACTCGACGAGTAGGATCGAAAGAGTGCAGATTCTCGACTTTTGCTGCTGGAAATGGACTAGAAACATTACCCTAAACTGTTTTGGTGTTATAAAACTTATTTTAGTTGGTGTAATGGTTGTTCTAATCCATTTACAATAGCATATATCAAAATTCCATGATTTTATGTGTTCATATAATTCTTGAATTTTTGATGATCATGTTCATGTTCTTATGAATTTAGAAAATGATAGGAATTATTTGCTGAATTGTTTAGGATTAATTCTTTATCATTTATGTGTTTTAATGGAGTCCATAATTTGTCCTCAAGTTATGGATTACCAAAGGTCACTTTCATTTAACACACACTTAAAACACATAAGTTACATGAAAATGAAGAGTCTTCATTTTTATGAACCTTTAATTCATAAGTTATGAAATGAAGAGTTTTGCAAAGTTACAAAACTTGCCCTCAAGTTTTGGAATTTGTAAAGTTTCACACACTTTAATAAACTTTAATTCCAAACCTTAGAGTTTTAATAGTTAAAATTCAACCCTTATACTATTTATAACATTAATGGTTAATTATTATATATATGTATAAGAATAAGTCGTTTTACCGTTAGTAGGCCTCATTCACGAAGCCGGTCTATAAGGTGGGTATAAGGTTGTTGCCTATAAAATGGCGACTTAATGGGTGTATACTCTCACCCACCGCTTGCTTGATCGGTGGAGGGTCGTTAGCCGAACGGGTAGAACAATGACTTTAAATCCTCATTAAAAGTATAATGAATATTATAAATAACTAAACTCTTTTAATTCCCAATCTTAGTTATTTTAGGAAAAATGTGAACATGGTGCTAGTCCATGGAATTCACACTTTGTACCTTACCAAGTCGTTGGTGGAGCGTGTGTGGTTAACCGGCACACTAACTAGGACTAGTAAGGATCACGAAGGGTGACTTAATGTTTGTCATAGATCAATGGAGCGTGTGTGGTTAACCGGCACATTGATTAGGTGATAATATTAAGAGTACCAAGTGAATTAGCATGGTTATTCACACCTTGTTTTGTGATCCTCGGCATCCCAGTCACAAAACTTGAAGGGCACAATCGAGATTGAAACATGCCATTGAAAAGTTCAATGAATCTCAAAAGAATCTAGGAATTTCAAATCCAATTAAACCTAATAAATCATTTCGTTTTCATGGTGGAAATTGGTGAATCGTCATTCACCTACCTTTCAAATATATTATTACTTAGATTACGGCATCCCTCTTCTAAGTGTAATATATTGTGATTGGATCCTAGCCTTAATATTACATTTGGGTGTCTTATTAAGGATCCTAAATATCTAATCTAAACTTACTTTCTTCTTTCAGATGTCTTCCAACACTAATGCTTCAGGCTCTAACCCAACTGGTTCTTTCTCTCTCATGAATCTTTGTGGGAGGGTCATCTTTGATGGTTCCAACTTCATGGATTGGATTAGGAACATCAGGATGGTTACTCGTTACGAGGACAAGGAATATGTCCTCGATAAGGAGTTAAAAGAACTTGATGAGTCTACTGCTACTCCTGAGGAGATCGCTGAATTCAGGACTCATGAGAGAGATGCTACTAAGGTGGCATGTATCATGATGGCCACGATGACAGCCGAGCTCCAAAAGTCGTATGAAGATTTCTACCCTTTTGAGATGCACCAAGACCTGATGGAAAGGTACCATCAGAGTGCTCGTCAGGAGCGGTATGAAATAATCTCCTCCATAATAACTACCCGCATGAAGGATGGTGAATCCGTCACGGGCCACATGCAAAAGATGCAAAGGTATGTGGACCGTTTGCTGAAGCTGAATGTTAACATCCCCGAGGAGTTGGCAATTGACATCATTTTGCACTCCTTGCCTTCTTGTTATGATCATTTTCGAATGACATATCATATGAACAAGGAGGAAGTTACCCTCAGCAAGCTTCAAGGACTCTTGAAGACCGCTGAAACCGGTCTTAAGGGTAAAGCGGTTGTTACCTCTACTACTCCTACTCCAACTTCTACCCCTGTTTTAGCTATTGGGCAAGGCAAAGGGAAAAAGAGGAAGCACCCTTCGAAGGGTACCAAGGGAAAGTCTCTTGAAGGCTCCTCATCAAAGACTAAGAACGGTTCTGTCACTCCTTCTGCCATTCCCAAGGATGCTGAATGCTTTTATTGCCATGAAAAGGCACACTGGAAGCGAAACTGCCCTAAGTACTTGCAGGATCTAAAGGATGGGAAAGTGAAACCCACCTATGCAGGTATTTACACTATATTGTCTAATTACTCAACATATTCTAACTCTTGGGTGCTTGATACAGGATGTGGTATTCACATATGTTCTGATTTGCAGGGCCTAAGAAGAAGTGAGGATGTGGAGCACGGGAAGATAAACTTAATCATGGGGAATAGGAAGGCTTCACCTGTTTCCAAGATTGGAGTTTATACTTTGTTGCTTAATAATGGGTTAAAATTAGATTTGAATAAATGTGTGTACTCGTCTGAAATGGCGAGGAATATTATTTCTTTTCATGCTTTGTACAAACAAGGTTTTACCTTTTCGTTTGATAATGAATGTGGTGGTATTAATGCTTTCTTTAATAATGTGTTTTATTTTAAAGCATTACCTTGTGATGGTGTGTATGAAACTGTGTCGATTGTAGACAACTTAGGAAATAATGTGTTGTATATTGATTCTTCTACTAGCCTAGATAAAGCATCATTGTGGCATTGTCGTCTTGGACATGTAAACAAGAAACGCATAGGCCAACTCCAAAAGAGTGGAGTCTTGGAATCATTTGACCTTAAATCAGATGATAGTTGTGAATCTTGTCTACTTGGAAAAATGACAAAATCACCCTTCACTGGAACTTGTGAGAGGGGTGAGGTTTGTTGGACCTAATACATACTGATGTATGTGGGCCATTCAAAACCGCCACAAGGGATGCTAATCGGTATTATGTGACTTTTATTGATGATTTTAGTAGATATGGGTATGTCTACTTAATCAAACATAAGTCCGAAACCTTTGAAAGGTTTAAGGAATTCAAGCAGGAAGTAGAAAATCAATTGGGCAGGAACATTAAGATGCTTCGATCCGATCGAGGTGGTGAGTATCTTAGTACCGAGTTCCTTGACTATCTTAAGGAGTGTGGGATTGTCTCACAATTGACTCCTCCCAGGACACCACAGCTGAATGGTGTAGCTGAGAGGCGTAATCGAACCTTGTTGGACATGGTTCGCTCTATGATGAGTCGAGTTTCGTTACCAATCTCTTTTTGGGGGTATGCCTTAGAGACTGCCGCCCATATCCTTAATCTAGTCCCTACAAAGAAGGTTACCAAAACACCTCATGAGATGTGGACTGGGAAGGTTCCCAATTTGGACCACATCAAAATTTGGGGTTGCGAAGTTTCGTGAGGCGTGAAACTCATGATAAGCTTGAACCCCGAAGTGAAAGGTGTATTTTCATCGGCTACCCACAGAAATCCTTCGGTTACCTCTTCTACAGACCCAGTGAGAATGTGGTCTTTGTAGCACGAAGAGGGATCTTTCGCGAGAAAGAATTTATAAGCCAAGGAGACAGTGGGAGGCAGATTGATCTTGAAGAAATTCAAGAATCAATTGGTGAAGGAACCTCAGACACTAGCAATCAACCTGAGGAGGAAACTCCTGTTGATCCAGCTGACGAGTCTGTACCTCCGAGGCGTTCCACACGGGTTAGGAACACACCTTCGTTTTATTATGGTTTTCATATTACTACGGAAGGTGATACGTTTATTAGTGATAGTACACTAGTAAATTTGGATGAACCTAGCAGTGTTAAGGAAGCCATGGCAGGCCCGGAGTCTGCTAAATGGAAGGAGGCTATGGACAGCGAGATACAGTCCATGTATGACAATCAAGTTTGGAACTTGGTTGACAATGTACCAGGCCGTAAAACAGTCGGGTGCAAATGGATCTT